TTACTACTACACACACACACACACACACACACACACACACACACACACACACACACACACACACACACACACACACACACACACACACACACACACACACACACACACACACACACACACACACACACACACACACACACTCACATGTGCAGACATAGTGACAACATCGCGGAGGTAGTCAGGGAAGCTTCCTGTGACCTTAAAACGTCAAGATCTGATGAAAAATTGATTTTTGCAAAACGGGGTAAAACCAATAACTTCCCGGTTTTCGAAAATCTTTGATTTTTTTAGCGGGAACTTAAAAAAACCAAATATCAATTAGATATACGTTGGATATAATTTTTTTATATCTTTACTTATATGTTTTCATATATATTTCCCCCAGGGGGATCATAAATCAAAAAAATGCTTTCTGTAAATTTTTAATTTTAAAGCAAATCTGATCGTATTTATTGTATGCCGCACTAAATTTTCGTTTTGACTTCGTAGCTCACTTCAGGGTCGTACAAATAATTGTAACCGTGTTGAACAATTGATCAATATCTCCATATACTTTTTCTACGTCTTTTATGAGGAAGTTTATTCTATAAAGCAGTGTAAAGAATAGTACAATTTTAGATAAATATACACATAAATGTAATAAGTTGAAATTCTTGTCTAGATTTATGATGAGAATGACTTCAATTCATTAATAATTTTGATATTCTTAATTAAGTATCACTAAATATTGCGTATGCTCCTGTAAAGTATAGCATGTCATAATAATCATGGAAATAATGAAACATGAATTTTTTCAAAAAATTTGAATATTTCCAATACTTTTGAATTTCGTCTTTTATAGGGAACTAAAATTGTCAGTCGTTTTGATTTTTATTTTCTAACTAAGGAATATGATTTAGTCTCTTTGAAAAAAATATATTTGTCTATGAAAGTTTTTATATTAAGTTCTTCAAAATTATATACTTGATTCAAGAACATTTTTTTTTTCTGTGTATGAATGTAAACTGTAATATTTAAAAAAATTTCCTTACAGTCAGTTTACGTAAAAATCATCCTAAAATTTTTGAAAGTTCAATGAACATCTTTAACTCATCTAATCTAAAATCAAATTTTTATAATTATGATAATCAAAGAGCAATTTATAGGGCCTTGGCCTTAGTTTGACGATAATATATGTGTCAAGCATCAAGCACGCATTGAAATTCAAACCTTGACCCACGTGAGGATAATATAGCTACTCAACTATGACCACGTCTGTACTCCATGAACTGTATTTAAAGTTTTCAACTTATTCTCACGAAAAATTAATATTTTTGAATGCCACCAAGTAAACTTTCTAAATAGGACTATAGTATTGAGAGAAATGATAGAGGTCTTTTAAATTCACACAGTCGATTCGTTACGAAATTTATTCTCACACTTCTAGATTTTGTTGTTAAATATGTATTTATATTATAATTAAAATCAAGATTTTTTTTAATAATCATATAAATGACTAAAATCATTCTGTTATTCATTCGACTCTGAATAAGTTTTTTTTTATATAAACTGTTTTTATATCACATTCAAAATGAAAAAAAAGCAGTTGTAGAAGAATAGTTTTTTAAAAAATTTTATTATTTCTTCAGGATTTTATAATTGAAGAAGTTAACTGTTTAATTATTTAATTAAGGAGGTATGGTGAAAAATCAACTTTCTTACAATATTCCTCAATTTTTGAATACGCGTACTTCTAAGTGTCCTCAATACGAATAAATTTTTTTTAATAGTCCTTGCGGTGTTAATTTTCGAAATATTAGCAATTAAAAATCGTACATTTAACATGTATTCCCTATCCTGACCGTAGTTAGAGCGAACATTTTATTGAATAACAACCATACTTTTCTTAGGATTTTTTTTAAAAACTGAGAATATTTAATTGAAGTTATAACAAGTATTTTTTTTTTAAAAAAAACATAAACGAGCGGTATTAGTTTTTTTATAAACAATGTTTAAAGTTTGTTACTTTTAATGATTTTCAAGCGTTCTCTTATAACCTAATAAGTGAGAGATAGTGACTTAGCAACGTTGCACTGCGCGGGAAGTTCAAAATACAGTAGAAGCCCAACAGATTCAAATAACTATAAAAATTTAATGGATATAGGTTAAGCACAAATTTACTGTATAGGAAAAATAAATATGTAAAATAATAAATAGTATAAATCAAGAATATAGCTACAATAGTCATTTATTTAAAAGTACATTTTTCAATAAATATTTTATAAACGCACTCATTTAAAACAAGTTATTTTTAACTGTAGAAGAACATTAATACTACTAATTATTTTATTCTTTTTTGGAAACTCTTTCTTTCCTAAAATTATTTTTTTTTGCTTTCTTAAATTTTTTAAATTTAATATTTCCACTAAATTCTGTAAAGTAAAAACGTCATAAGCTGCATCATGGGATGATTGTTGTTCATCATCTGAATTTTTAAAAAATCTTAACTCTAATTTAAATTTACCAGGACCTTTTCTATCACTCAAGACTGATCGAAATATTGCTAAATTAAAATCTGCCATTCTTTAGCCGCGAAGTCATTATTTATTATTTGCAGTCTCCAACTATACGTAACCTCAAAATTATTTCAATCAAAACATTAAATTTTTCTACAACACATGTCTCAAGGGGCAAACGATTCTGAGCGAGAATGCAACGTAGCCAAGTAAAAAAAAAGACGCAGTGGGATTATTTTTCTACTTCTGCGCATGTGAGAGGAGGCGCAAAAGTGTACTGCATCTCAACTACTTCATATTGTAGTTATAATGCTTTACATTGGGGCATATGGGCGGGAAATTTTTCTGAAAGTTGAGAACTGTTTTAGGGTAATACCTCCTTAAAACCCTTGGGTAAAGAAAAGAAAATTCTCCAACTTACTTCATTCAAGAATTTTTATTTCCTGGGATTGAGATAGACAATAAAATTGATTCAATATTTTCCTCACTTGTTTTTAGAATGCCGTTACAACCGAAAATAATCAAATTTCTAATCGTTTTTACATCATCGAAAAAACAATGTCTCCATTAAGTTTCAAAATAAAGACATAAAAATTTCGTTTCTTCAAACGGTATTTGTTGCTACTTGAGAATTAAATGAAGAAAATAGTACATGCCCTGGCGGATTCGTATTCACTATAAAATAAATTTTTAACACAAAATTTTTTGACGCAATGACGCAAAATTTTTTACTGTGTGGTGTAAAACCAGGAGTGCATTGACACTTATTGATTACACAGTGAGAATTTTGTGAGAAGCAATCGGCATTTTCAGAGCAAACCCCGTTCAAAATTGAAAGAAAACTAATTTTATCAATTGTCGTTGTGTTGAACGAGCAATCACATTTTTTACTTTCTGTGCATTTTACAAATTTACCTTGTGAACAAAATTCATCATCGTCACAATTTTCACCAATAATATCTGAAAAAGAAAAAAAAATATTTTATCAGTTGTGTCCAACAGGATTTTTTTGCAGATTACCCTTGTTAAGAAAAACAATTTAAAACAATTTGTATGGATTGAATCATTTTAAATTGTTTTTTTTTTTAAGAAAGTATGATAGAAAATAGATAATTAAATAATCTATCGAGTTGCAGAGAGTTTTATCTAAAATTTTTCTTGGTTTAGAAGAAATTCACAAAACTGCAATAGCTGGTAATGGCTCTTAAAGGTGTAGTCTAGTTGATCACTTTGAAAAATTCAATTTTTTTTACATTTTTCGAATGTATAATATGTATCTATAACAATTCTCGGAGATGTGAACTGTTTCGGGCGAAGGCTCGCAGATTAAAATTTGGTAAGATTTTTTATGATTTTTTGTTCAAAGAAACTTAAAATGCGTTTTTTCTTATAACTATTTTTTAACAGAGGTTCAACACGATTTTTCCGGAACCCGTGGGCCGTTCCTTCTAAAATTTTAATCAGATATTTTACACATAAATAAAAAAAAAAAAAAAAACAATTTCTTTTATAGCAATCTCAAGAAAAATTTTCAAAAATCGCCTACTTTTTTAGCCGACGAACCACTATCCTTAATAAGGGTACTTACTTAACATGCATTGATTGTCAGAGCGCTGGGAATAACCATTTTTGCATTGACACTTAAAGTTAATACATTCGGAATATGCGGTTGCGCAACTTTGATGATTATGCGTACAAAATTCTCCTAATATGGGTAGACATTTATTATTCCGATAAGCGTTTTTTGGCTTGCAAACACATTGTTCGTCTTCGGAACATTCTGCATGCAGCAATCGTCGACAATCTCGATCAAAGGTACACGATGAATTAATTAATTCAGATTTAAATTCTTGGGGTTCTGGAAAAATTAAAAAATGTACTCTATTATTTTTAATTAATAAAAGTAGGTTTTAAAATACCTTCTATAACGCATTCGGATATACCGATTGAATACTGTATGCATCTGTTATTCGCATCACAACATGGTTGCAGAAGAGATGAATTACACTGAAAAACAATTTTGATTTATTAAGAATACTATATACATTATATGTCTTCAAATGCAGTTAATTCTTACCCAAAAATTAACGTGAGCACAGTTTTGTTCTTTGTTTTTTCCAATAAAACTAATCGTTGGATGGAAAATTGACATCAACGCAATAATAAGCAAAAAATAAATTCTACTAGCCATATTTGACTACCGCATCAAAATTTTTGACGATGTAAATGCTGCGTAATATCTTGATAATGATAGTAAAAAATAAAAGAATTTTTTTATAAAAAAAAATATATATGTTTTTAAGTTGATAAATTGATGCTATAATTTGAACTGGTAGTTGCCGAACTTTAATGATCCCAGTTTAATTGAAAATATAACATGTACAACACCAGAATGTGTTGATTTTCAAAATAAAAGGCCTACATTGTCTGTCAATTATGAAATTCTTCTTAAGAATGGTATACAAGATTTACAAAATGCTCTCATCTATCATGGAACGTTCCAATCAATCTGTACTGTTTGTAAGAATAAAACACGAATCTGTGAACAAAAGTTAAACTCTTACATTTATAAGCTGCGTAACCAAGATAGCAGCATGTCATACCAGTTACGAGACTTTCCAACTTTTTTAAATATCAAAGAAAATGAAACAAAAAATATACGGTATCGGTTGGTATGATTTTATTACATTATTTCTAAAATTCTAAAAATTGTATTCTAATTTTTTTTTTAATTTTCAGTTTGTGTGGACTTATTGGTTATAATGCACATCATTATATTGCATATTGCCGCAGATTATGCGGAGATTGGCGATTTTATAATGATTTAATGAAGGAGTCAAAGCCAATTAGGAAACATACAAAAATTTTACCACATGGAGTTCTTTATATATTAGAAAAGTGATAAGCCAAGTAATTTTATTAGTTTTTTATAATTATAAAGAACAAAATTTTCATGGTGATAAGGGTGACGCAAAAAAACCCACTATTTTTTTTTTTTAAGTCGAGTAAAAAAATATTAGTTTTTGCTGTTTTAAGAGCCCTCTCCAAAGAACAGCTCAAAAAAAAATTTTTAAGAGGTCGCTCCAAATTTTTTTAAATTTCAAAAATCGTAAAAAATCGAAATTTTTTTTTTTAATTTTTTTCTCGTTACGTCGAAATTTTATAGACAAAAAAAAAAAGTTCCTAAAAGTTTCAATTCAAAATTAAAATTTTGATAGGTCGCTAGTAATTTTTTTTAAATTTCAGAGTTAAAAAATGCTAATCCAATTAAATAGTCACTAATAAATTAAAAAAAATTATAAGCGACCTTTTAAAATTCACATTTTGAACTGAAACTTTCAGGAAAACCTTTTTTTTTGGTTTATAAAATTATGACGTCACGAGAAAAAAAATTAAAAAAAAAAAATTCGATTTTTCACGATTTTTGAAATTTAAAAAAATTTGGAGTGACCTCTTAAAAAAATTTTTTTAAGCTGTCCTTTGGAGTGAACTCTTAAAACATCGAAAACTAATATTTTTTCACTCGAGACAAAAACAAAAATTAGTCGGTTTTTTTTGCGCCACCCTAATGGTGATAAAAAAATATAGTTGGAATGTAATGTTATTTAGACAAATTCACCTCACAATAATTACTATATTAAAATAGAGTTTCAAGAAATAGAAACTGAATTCTTAAAAAAAAAAAAAATCTGCTCAGTAAATGCTGATGAATTAATTCATTAATTCAAATTATTTTTTTGTTTAATTAAGTACTTAACCGTAATGTTTACTGAATAGCAACCGTAATACACGATTATTATGATGAAAATTTGAATACATATTTTTAGAGCATGTTAAATTAATCTTGAAGATTTTTAATTTTTATCTATGTTTTTGAATAATTTATTCAGAAAATTGTTACAATTTTAGTGTATGAGTATGGTGCAAAATAATAGGTAATTTAAAAGAATATTTTATTTAATTTATTCATCTTTGTTGAAGAATTTATTTATTTATTAGTTGTAATTTTTTGTTTGCTAATTCTACGTACAAAATAGAAACCATTCATGTGCTAATATATACTATATAGTTATATGAAAATTTTCATTTGATATTAATTATTAATAAGAACCAGCTTCATGTTATGTATTTTATTTTTAATAATACAAAATCCTTCAATCCAAGACTAAAAATTTTGTATTAAATGTTAATTATAATTAAAAGAGCAGAAGTATGCCACTTTTTATTTCAATAAAAAAATCATTTTTAATTATAAATGCGTAGTTTTTCAATATTTTTTTATCCTGATTGATCGAGTATGAAAATTCTAAAACTTGTTAGATGTTTGTCAATTTTAATATGATTATCAACTATCATAATAATAATAGGCTATAAGTTGATGATGAATAAAAATATTTTTTTCAATTACAGCTACTAAGACTATTATATTCACCTAAGCATCTGTCACAACCGAATTAATTAAAACCAAGCTTAGATTTTATATTCGGGAAAAAGTGATGCATCAAAAATATTCTGATAGTATATATTCGGTAATCCTTCCTAAACACATTTGTATTCGTAATATAATAATTGCTTTTATTAAAAAATTATTTGTTGTTATGCTATTCTTTTTCCTAGAAATGGGTATCTAATACACAGAAATATTTTTTTAAAATTAACTTAAAATATCGTAATGAAAAGCTGGTTTGATAAGTACATGAGTCTAACGTTCAGCTTCACCGGTCTCTTGCAATAACAGTGCTTTCTGATCTTTCTTAAAAATTAATTTTATTTATAACGATGGAGAGACACTGTATTGTTCAATCGAACCTAAACTTATAAAGCTAGAAAAAAAAGATATTAATAACATTACGGATGTGTCTAATTCACGCATAAAAAAGTCCTTACAATCCATACAGAGTAACTACAAAGGCTATATATTTCCGCACTGTGGATGTCAGACCCTTATAGACACACGTAATGGATATATAAGGACGTTTTTGAGTATATCTGATAATTGATCATGCTATTGATGTATCAGAAGTAACTATTCATACGTAAAAAAACTCTGAGTTAGTCACGCAGCGTGGATTTATTAGGATTTTTTTACGCTTAAGTAGACATGTACTAAAGTTTTATGAAGAAATTATCTTATGTAGAAATTAAAAATTTTATCGCTGTGAATTTCTGAAATTTTTGAAAATACTTTATCAATAATTGATAATATAATTATTATAATTGATTTGTTATAAAATTCTGAAAAAAATTATCAGGTGTTTGCTGATTTCAGTATCAGTAAATATTTACGATACTGGATATTGGATCTAATAGACACGCAATAATTTTTATAGAAGCTACAAGTGAAATTTTTAAAAAATATTTTCGTAGAACTAGTTTTTTAAATGAAGTTAAAAATATTAAGATGTCTGCTGATTTGAGTATCATTAAATAGTGATGAAATAAAAATATTTAAATAAAAAAAATTATTTGGTACATGTACTACAGACATGCAATACATATATTTAAGATAATAATTATCAACTTAAATCCTAAAAAATATTGACAGAAAACTTTTTATGTCCCTTGGATATAACGATGATTTACAAATAATTCTCATTTAAAGATTGCCGGGTTACTTACAGTTCGAATGGCCTTTGCGCATGCGCGGTGAAAATAAATTGGCTTAGAATAAAAAAAAGTTTATTATTAAATTACAGGATAACGAAGGACGAACAAATGTTTTTTTTAATCGAACAATGAATAAATAATTATAAACTATTAAAAAAAAAAAAAAAAGTGAGAAAATCAATATTTAGTGTTAACTTGAGAGTCAATTTTTGAAAATTAAAAAAAAAAAAAACTAAAAACGAACAAAAGAAATTTTTGATTAAACATTGAAGAACAATTCAAGAAGCCAAAAAAATTAATGAAAAATCAATTACTCCCCGCCAACTTAAGAGTGCCCATGATTTACATTAAGTTTTGTATCCTAAATAAAAATATATATGATTAAAAAAAAAAAAACATTTTAAAAGATTCAATCTATGCAAAGTGTATATCTATATAGTAATAAAAATCAAATCTTTTTCAATCACTTCAAATGATTTTAATCATTTTGAATTTTTTTCTCTAATCAGGGAAATTTATTCAGTTTAGTAATGATTTTGAGTATTGGTTTTATTTTTTGACTTGTTAATATATTAATAAGTTTTTTACGACAATATGTATCTGTGGGTTTATATTAATAAACTTATGATTCGTTCATGTTTTTATGTAACCTAAAAATTCTCATCCCTATATGAGGTGTCAAAGTCAAATAATAAAGATTTTACGACATTCATCTTTTTATTTTTAACAACAAAAGTGTTTAATGAAATATTAACGAAATCCAAACGCAAATCTAACACTTTAATATCATTAATTTATTAGAAGAAGAATTTTGTAACGAACCTTTAAATTGTTGATAATATTGCGAATGTTTGTTTATATGTTGTAAACTAGATAGATGTTTCTTTCTAGCTTCTGAATCATCTTTAAAGTGTCGATCACAATAATCACAGTAATATCTTTTTCCCATCTAGCTTTTAAAACAAAAAAATTATAATTTTCTCTTTAAAAATATTATTGAATATTAAATTTCAAATTAAGACTTCAACCTCAAAACCAAACAATAACGTTTAAAAGTATATATCTTGGATAAATCGACAGATATGTTTACCTTATGGACCTTATGAGCAACTGTAGCAGCTAGCACTCATTTATTTAAGTAGAGAGTTAGTACCTTTATCATTCAAAGAGAGCACCACAATACGTATTACATACGTATTACATATACGTATAACAAATATAAATAATGCTGTGAAGCGGGAAAGAATAGGAGTTACGGATAATTATTACCTGAAGCGTTCCAACATTCACGTAACAGGATAATTGGTAGGAAAGGATTGAGAAAGGATTATGGAGAGGAACTTCTTAATATGTCCTCAAAATATAAAATGCTCCCCCAAATAAAAATACATGAAAGTCTTGAAGTTAGTCATAGGTCGAAATTCGCAAAAAACTATTCAAATTTATAGTACCCGATTAACTTGCAACGGGAGCCAGAAACGTCCTCTTGTGGAATATGGAACGAAAAACGATATAAGTAAAATTGAGAAAGAAAGGCGAGGAAATTTACCGTAAAATAGCTATTAGAGTGAATTGAATGTAGAATTTAATATCTTTCGAGACGTAGTGCTGGAATGAGTGAACCTGATAATTTCCATCTTTTTCAGCAAGATTTTTGTTCATTTTATTGACCAAATCATTGCGTACTAGTCTGGGTTTTTCATGTTTTAATCGTTCTTGTAACTTAATTCGCTTGGAATTGCGTAGTTCATAAGCTAAATTAAGTTCGTGATTTGTTCGTCCAGTAGTTGAAAAAATTTTAATTTGTGTGCAGAGACCAATTGTAATACCGTGAAATTTGAATTTGATTGGACATCCTAATTGAGCACAATGGGCATAATCCCGGAAATTATTATTTTTACCAATAACAAAGCCATCAAAAATAAAAAAGCAGTTTAAATTAAATTTTGCTGGCAATGATTCCCGTAAAATATCATGTACTAAATTTGAATTAATAGTATTTTTGTAAACAACATCTACTAAGGATATACTTAACACGCCTATGTATTCATAATCGAATCTTGTAGTTGAAATAATGTTATTTTCATTATTTTCTTCTTCATTTGAAGATATTGAAGAGGTACTCAGCTGATGACTCAGCTGTCGAACTAATTCTTCAGTTTCATTAGCCTTATCTTCTAAACCAGCAGTGGAAGAGTCTTGTTCCTAATTTTAAAAAAAGATTTGAAAATAGAATAAAGATAGTTTAAAGAGATAAAAGATTGGATTTGGCAGCTATATAAATATATACTTTGTGTAGATTTAATTTTTTTTTCTTGAATCGGGGGCGTCAAATCAGGCTGTAAATTTTTGAAGGTAGTCTTGTTGTTGTCATCTTGTGCGTGATTTTTTTTTAATTCTATTTTTCGGAGAATTTTTTCTTTAAAAGAATGTTTATTGTTTTGCCAAGCAAAATATAAATTTACTTTGAATCGTTGAATTTCATTTTTTTTTAATTTGAAATAGTCACAAATTTTAGAGAATAGAATTGGATTGTGAGTTGGATTGTCACCAATATCATCAATTGTATCAGCAAATAATAATATTGCGAAATATGTTTTTGTGATATCAAATTTCATTATGACTTATAAAATGCGATCATTAATAATCTAAAATAAAAATAAAATTAAATTAAACGTACATAAACTCAACGTATATCTTCTAAAAAAATTTTTACTAAGTTTTCTTACCAGATCAGCGAAAATAACCTACTTAAAATCGTGAAATCATTAAAATTCATAAATAAATTAATTATTAATTATATTGAATAAATTATTTCTTGATAATATTGCTAATTGAAATTATATTGCTTGTGACCTAATATAATGTCGGTTTTACATTTGCCAAATACTTCAAATGATTTAATTTCGAGATAACAGCGCCACTGAGGATAGTGACAACCTTCAGGAAACATTTTGAATTTCGAATAAAGTGAAAATTTACTTTATCGATAAATTCCAGACTTGATTGATAAGTCAAGGAGTGAAGTATGAGCAGTGTGACAACAATGTCGAAACTGGGCGGTTTATGTTTGACATTTTTGGAGACAAAAGTCATTTTATGATTACTTGTAATGTTCTTAAAGATTAGAAAGCTTAACGAAGTCAGTAAGACTTTTATAAAATTTTTCCCGTTTATAAATAGTATTAAATGGATTTAAAACATTTTTTTTTCATTTAAATAATCATGTAAACTTGAATTTTCATCTAATACATTTTTTTCCATAAGTTTACACTCTATATTTTCAATTATGTTGAGAGTTAATTTTTTTGTAGCTTCAATAATATTTTGGAGCGAAGACTTAGGAATATTAGACGCAACTAATTGGAGAATATACTTTCCACCAATAGAGTTTTTCAAATTATCAGGTGAAATTGAATTTTTATTGTCAACAATCCAACTCTTGTTGGAGTTATTGTTTAGTTGTAGTCTGGTATGAATCTTTCTAATTAGTTTATCACGAGTTAAAGCATTGATAGATTTATTTTTTAAGGTTCTTAGATTATTTTCTTTTGCGCAGACTTTTGGTTGCATTGATACTTTATTTGAAATTCGATTTAAATGTTGATTTAAATGTCTTCGATAACCACTGAATGTTCTGTAAATTTTTTTACAGTGTTGAACTGTGCAGGATAAATGTAAATTAACACTTTCTGAGAGTTCATGTTTTTTGCGTAGATGTTTTATTAATAAACAAATAGTTGTTACATTTTCTTGACAAATGTAACAAGAAAGATCCATATTTTGAAGAGTATTATAAATGACAAACTGTTTAGTTTGTATTTCAACTACTAGTAAACTTGAACTTATTAACATAAAAACTGGAAGAATTTAATTGATATAAATCAACTAACTTTAAAATCGAAAACAATTACGATATTTAATTATTACTTGATAACCAAGAACGTACATCGCGCATTCTTGGTGTAAACTTGATTCCTTTCATATCCCTGGCGGTTTCGACAACACGGTGAAAGCACAGTCGATCGACGGTTGTTTTACGGTCGTTTCACAGTCGTTTCACCGTATAAAGTCCGTTGTTACCGAGCGAGTTGTCAGTCTGCATCGGATACAGTTGTGAACGATATTCACTGTGAATTAACAGAATATATACGGTGCAAACGCAAGTGAATCTACGATGTTATGACCGACACCGTACGCTCAATATACTGTCGAAATACGGTGATTTTACGCTACTGTCACGGACAATAAAATAAAAAAAAATACTTCGAACAGTCTAGACCGGGACTCGAACCCGGTTCATCTGGTCGCGCGCCCGAAACTTTACCAGTTAGGCTATCTGCGACGTTGCACGTAAGATCGATTCAGTGACATGATAAGGTGTCAAAACCAAGTCATTTTTTTTATCGTACAGATAAAAATAGCTTAAATAAAGTTATATTTTTTCCAGGACTTCAAAATAATAATCGTAATAAATGATTAAAATTTTTTATGATTACGAAATTCTTGATTTCGAAATCACGGTAAAATTATTAACTGTATAAAAAAAA